TTTTTTTTCAAAGCAAAAAATATTTTATTAATACACACTGCTGCATGACAGAAAACCATTACCGTGAAAATGTTTAATCATTGAAACGTGGTTTACGTGCAATATGCTCTCCTAAAAATCCTATTTCAACCTCTAATGTTATAGAGTTTAACCATGTCAGCAAAAATAAACCACAGAATAAATGATGAGATGAATTAAAAAAAAAAAAAAGCCAGTGATAAAAGAAAAATAAAAGTAGTAGTAGTAGTAGTAGTAGTAGAAACCCTCATTAAAATGCTAATTTTAAAAAAAAAAAAAAAAAAAACTAACAATGAATCTATAATTTTTAATTTTATTATTTATAAAAAAAAAAAGTATGTATGTGCACACTTAACAAAAGTGTCGATTAATATCCAAAGTTAAAACAAAAATTAAGGGAAATTTTAACGATAAAAATTTCTCAATGAGAAAGATTATAGTAAATGTTCGAGATTAGGGAAACTTGTTAAAATTATTAAAATTAGGTTTGTTAATTTGACAACATTAAAAACTCACAGGTTATTTCTTTTTTTTACTTTCATGTTTTTTACAATCATGTCTCTTAATGACACTAAATTTTAATAAACTTCTTTATGTAAAATAAAAAAACAAACCAAAAACTTCAACAAATTTATAAAATCAATATTCGAAAAACACCAAAACCAAACAATCAAATTTGTAACTTGCACTTTGAATTAAATGCACTTGCAGACATTTTTTTTTTTTTTTTAAATCAAGTTTACGAGTAAATTTTTGCAAATCGATTTTAAAAAAAAAAGAATTTTTAAATAAAAATAAAAAAAAATTTATCTGTTGTTATTCGATGGTGAAATGTTGCTGCAGTTGAGATTCTAGATTTTATTTTAACAAACCTTGAACTGACTTGTTTATTAAATGAGCTTTAATTTGAATTTTTATTTATGTCAATACTTTTTTCTTTCTGCCTTCACATAAAATTTTTTTAACAAACATTTTTCGCATACTAATAATTTTAAAAAAAGAAATATTTAATTTAAACTTTAACTAACTT